CACAGTGGCTGCCAAATGGTCGTCTTCTATTGTGAAATTCAGCACAGCAGAGAAGAAATAGCACATTATGACACAGTATGATGGAAAGGCAAATAAGAAAAGTGTGTAAATTAATAGATTCAACTCATGTTTTACTTTACATTTTGACAGCATGACTGCTCTTCCCTTCCATCAAGTACATTTTTCCACTTCTAGAATCCCTAGAAGCCAGAAACACAAAACAAGGCTACGTCCACACGTACACGGGTGTTTTTGAAAACGGAGATTTTCCGTTTTCGTTTTTTTTAAAAATCCCGTCCACACGTAAAAGCCAAAGACGAAGGAAAACGCTGCTAGGAACATGCCAAAGCAGCAGATGGCGCTATATTCCTATCCATGTAGAAATGTTGGCCAATCAGAAGTCAGCCTGGGTGGGAAAGAGTAAACAAAGATGGCGCATAGAAGCAGAACTGAGTCCTATGTGTGGAGGGACAGTAACTGTGTAAGCATTTAAACACTGCAGAGAGTAAAATGAACAGTAATGGTATTTTGTGTAAGTCCGCCATTGTAGAAATTCATTTCACCGAAACAATAACCTGGCGCACAGTGTGACGTCAAAAAATGCGCACACCTTTGACGCTGCGTTTTCTCCGTTTTTCTCGTCCACACGTAAACGCAAAAACTGAGTTTTCAAAAATATCCACCCTGGCTGGAGTTTTTAAAAATCTGTTTTCAGTGACCGAAAACGCCGTTTACGTGTGGACGAAAGGTGCGAACGCATAGAAAAATCTGCGTTTTCAAAAATACCCGGGTACGTGTGGACGTAGCCCAAGATACTGCTGTTATTATTAAATAGTTTCAATTTGTTTCTTAGTTTATTTGTGATTTAATTTTCACCTTTCATCTTTATGCTTAGTTTGTTCTGGTTACTTTGAATTTTGTAGCCTCGAGCTTATTTCTCGACTATCTCCTTTTGTAATTTGTAAAATAGTTCAGTGAGTTTATTTTCCTCCATTGTCCTGCGTTCTGTGTCACGTCTGTGTTTCTGTTCTTGCACACCAAGTTACTTATTGTGTTAGTCTGTTGTCTCTTGTGGTTTTATTTAGTTTTACGTCGCTTGTCTCGTTTTCTTATTTAGCTTCAGCTGCCCTCCCAGGTGTCTCCTGTTTGTCCTGAGCTCCTTGTGTATTTACTCCCTCAGTTTGTCTTAATTGGTTGCTGTGTCCTCCCTCTCTGTATTGTTTCCTTCCTCAGTGTTTCCCTGGTTTTGCTAGTATCCAGTTTCCCTGCTGCTGCCCTGCCACTGTGTTTTTGTATTTTTTTGCTACTGCATTGAAGCTGATCTTTGAGTTCATCCTTTGTCTCCTGAGTTTTCTGAAAATTACTCTGGTCTACACGCACGCTATGCTGTGTGGGAAAGAAGAGAAGAAAACTGTACAGTAGTTGTGTAAATTATGTGTCCAGGTAATGAACCATTAAATCTCCTCTTGCACCATCTGAATCTCTCTGCAATCACATCACATAGTATGCATATTTTAATTTATACAGCCAAATATCACAAATCTGACCTTAAGGTCTTTGCCACCTGGACACATCACCAACCGCTCTGAAGAAGCTTAGAGTGGATTTGGAAATAGACACCTGAGGTGAAAGAATTCAATGATTAAAGTTGTGCTATTATTAAAAAGGTAACAATATCAAGATATGATTCAGGAGGAAGTGAAACAACTTCTTAGGTTATGTACTATTGATTATCAATAATTAACAATGAATATGTTTATTTTACAACCATGCAAACATGACTGATTAACCTGCATGGGGAAAACTGAATATTGAGTATTAACAACTAAGAGTGCAATAAGTGACCACTGAAGAGGCCCACACAAAAAGTTTTAAGGCTGTAGACAGCTGTATGTCACAGAACAATGAACTTCATTTTGAGCTTACTCATAATCAAATAGCATTTCATATCTTTGTTCACTAAGGCAGGAAAACAGCCTCAAGGTTTTGTACTGAGTGAATGAGACATTGTGGATTCGTTTCTGTCAAACATCAGTGTTCAATGTTGTCACTTATGGAAGTGCAATAACGATATGTACAAGACAAATAAAAGAAAAGAAATTGTTATATCAAGTGAGCCAATATCACATTAACTGAACAACTGATGTTTCATGCTTTTTTTATACTGCTTTTATAAAAAGTTTGAGACAGACCCTAATGAGCTACTGAAGCAAATAAATAACTGTCACTGAGGCTTTACATCTATATCACTGAAAAAGGCAAAGAGGTTTGTGAAACAGAACAATTGGGACTGCGAGTTATAGTTGCTGCACAATATGTTGTTCAGGTGGTAAGCCAACCATCTGTAAGTATATTACTCTTCTCTCAGGTTTCACGGTGTGCACAGAGGTGGATTTGCACAAGAGAATCTTTCACGACCATAGCTGTGAGAAAATGATCGTCTGTATCACGTGCACATAACTCTGACCCATGGAACACATTACCATCATCTATGTGGCGGCTCTCTGATCCACAGCCAGTGGGTTCTAACTGCAGCTCACTGCTGGAAAGATCAACCTGGATGGTGAGAAATGACTGTTTCACATATTTAAAAAAACCAGTCCAGAGACAAAAATCATTACTGGTATTTTGTTCTTTTACCATTTCCATTGTTTAGGACTATGTCTGCATATGTAGGAATTCATCCAGGTCCAGGAAGAATGGTGACAATTATTGATCACAAAATCTTTGAGGACCAAACAGGAAACATGACATCATGCTTCTGAAAATCGACCCACCAGAGAATAAGATTAAGCCTGTTGTCTTCCCTAAATGTCCGGCAAAAAGTGAGTTTTGAGTAACCTTTTAAGTGTAAGTTTGAATTCTGGAATATGTTGACATAATATGTATTTTTCTTGTTTAGTTGGTTGGTTTTTTAAACTTCCAGGAAGAGCAAAAAATGTAGCAACATCTGTAGTCTATGAACAAAATGACATCATGCTTTTGAAGTTACAAACCCCCATTAGTGACTGCAGAGCTTCTTTATTAACAATAATGTAACTGAGACTTGAATATTGAGCAGAGGGTTCTGGTTTTGATTTTAGGTACCTGCTTAGGAGCTACATCCATGATCTATAATAACTGACAATAAAACACGAGCATGAGGAAATGGAAGGAAATGTAATGTTTTAATAAAATGTTTGAATCTGAAAAGATTAGCTGACTTAGAGTGAACTGGAAATACTCAGCCTGCAGACATGGAGATGGAATTTTATTTATTTTTTAATTTGTAGGATGGATGTCATTCAGATTGCAGGCCATGGTGGCTATACGGTTGATGTAAACTCAACAAACGTAAGACCAGTATTGTTTTGATTATTTCACAATTTTTTAGTTTATATTATACTTTGATTTTGTCTTGTGTGCCTGTTATAGTTACTTTTTCATTTTATTTGAAAACTGTGATGACATAAAGTATTTATTTCATTTTTTTGTGGATATACTGTCAATTTCCCTCCTTTTTAAATGCTGCTCAGCTTCTTTTAAAGAACACATTTTGTTCCAGAAATGAGGCAAATCATGTTTCTTTCAATATCTGATTTCCTTGCATGAAACATGCAGTAGCATTTGTTATTTTCCTTTTTTCTCTAGTCCCTGATGAACCGCCTCATCTCCAGTGTGCAAAGATGCATGTTGTTGAGTGTGAGCTTAACCTCCATCCATGTAATTCAGCATTCTTATGGCCAAATGGAAACACGATGTGTTACAAAGAACCTCGAGTGGACATATGTAAGGTGAGTTACCATGCTGCCAACATTTTATCTGTATCATTATCAGATGTTTTGGTACAAAATATTTATGTTTTCTCTCTCAGGGTGATTCTGGTGGTGGAGTGATGGCCAAAAACAACAAGATTCATGGTGTGCATGTTGGTGGTTGTGAACCTGCCTGTACCGGACCAACTATTTCTCTGAAGGTCTGCTCTTACATTGGTTGGATAAATCAAGTCATTACACGGAGTAATGGAAAATAATAAAATTAAAATAACATTCAAAATAAACAGTCCGCTCTGCAAGAAACTGCTTCGGTGTGAATTGTTTCTACATGTGAACTTTCGATTGTTAAAATATAATATGTCATGTGTGTTTTCAATGTAGTTTCAGGCGTCAAGTAGATCATTCAGTTGTTCAGAAACTGTGAAGTTTGCATGAAGGTTGTTGGGTCCTTTTTGCCAGATGATATTAAGTACAATTACTACAGTAAAGTACAAATGTAAGGAATTTGTACTTTATTTTATTTTATTTGGTCTTTCCATCACATTTGTGGCTTCTTCTCCGCTGCTTCTAAGTGGAAATTGGTACATTTAACTTCACTACAAATATCTGACATCTTTAGTTGTTATTTTACAGATGAAGATTTGTGCTCATGAAACACATGAAGTACAATTTTGTTTCTGTAGTTGATCAATCAGTTATTTGACTTGCATGAATTTAGCAACTATTATTATATGTTTAATCTTTAAAAGTACTTACTGTTGATATTATTTTCTGTAAATTGTTCAAATCATAAATGTGTGAGAAGCACTCAATCAGGGGCGACTCCAGCATCAAACCTTTAGGAGGGCTCAGCTCAGTCTTAATGTCATGCTTTTAGTGTTGCCTTCAAAAGAAATGTAATTTTTGGATGGCCTACAGCTGTGTCTAAGAATAACAGATTTTAATATAATACATCAGCTTTACGGTGGTCACTTTAGTTTAAAACCCGATGCAATGGCACAGTCATGTTGACCAGTAAATTTCAAAAACAGTTTAAGAAAAAGCAGATCAGAGGAGAAACCTGCACGGCATTGTTTCAGTCTCTTAACCACATAGAGGCCAGTCCACCAAATCATCAAGTATTTAAAGTACCATTATACAATACAGACAGTTCAAAATCCCCCTGCGACTCCACCTGCACAAGAAGCAAACTGGTAATAGAGCTGGTTTTAAATGACAGCTTTTGAATTCATGCAAACCCAAACACTTTGTTGAGCAGACTCAGCACAGAGACTCGTGTACACCAATTCAGAGAGTGGAGAACAGATTTGTAGTCTGTCACATCAGTATAGTAGCATTCATCCTGTTCAAGTTTACAGTGATGTGAATGCTGCTAAATGCTATTATTCACATTAATAGCAGAGTGCTACTGAAAAGCACACAACGCATCCATTTAATGCATGTAGATTGTGTGAAAAATCCACCTGATCTCTGTTAGTTCCAGTCTCTCTGTCCGCGCTTCCTCTTTGTACTGACAATCACACACAAACATTTTATATTCAACTAAAACAATAACAAAAAATATATTCTTGTAATAATTATTTTAAGAGCATCGTTTGATAAGAGCATAGCACCCTGCTTAGTTATGAGCGATCACCATAGATGAATGTGGGCAAAGCAGAAGTGACATATATGTAGCCAGGTGGAAGGTCTTTATTATCGGACATGTCCCTGACTTTGACTTCATGTCCACTCTTACCCGTTTCTTATATGTGCTGAGTTCCTCCATCTGTCTCCCTCTCTGTCATCCCCTCTCAGTCTTTGTGCAGTCACCCAAAGGTTAATTATAAAAGTATATCAGAGTTTACAACCGAATAAAAGGCATAAACTGGTCCATATCAGTTTGCTGCTGCTGGCGAGGGCGTTGCTAGGATCTTGAAGCATACAGGGCTTACAACAGCCCTGAAGTCTTTTGAGTTTTCACTCAATAACAGCACCTTTTAAAGTTATTTGTTTTTATTTATTTAAACATATAGTAAAATTAATATAAAGTGGTAAATGTTATGCACTACCTAAAGTGTGAAGTCACAGAATGATACTATTTAGTGCAGTTTTTAATCATTACTAGTCTTCATCTTAGAGCTTGTGCTCTTATTGTGCCATGATGTCTCCTTTTAAACTGTGTGGATGTTCACCTCTTCTTCATCCTTCCTGTTCCTTTCACCAAACTGCTCACTCTTGTTCTCCTCTGATCTCACTTCCTGTTCTGGTTATAAGAAGAATGCAGTCAGCATGTGTCAAAGACACTCCCTCCAAATATATGATTTTGATATGATGATTAGATATTTAACATTTTATTTATCAACTATTTTATGCACTAAATCAATTATTAAACAAATATCATATTGTAGAAAAGCAAATAATAATGCACTAAGCAGTTTCATGCCACAAGAGCTAAATGGTCACGTCACTGTATTTATTTCCCACAAACTACTATACCTAGGATCTTCAGGTTTCCACTATATTTCATTAATCTGCAGCGACTGTAGAACATAAAGTATATTGACCTCTATTGTTTTCTTTATGACTTGGCCTGAATACACACACATACACATCTTTGAATAGCACAACAAATGAGGTAATTTTCCATGTGTTTTAATAGGTTTAAGTGATTTATGGGTTTTATGTATGTGTGTGTATTTTGGTCTTCAGTGTAAATTTATACAAACTGTAATTTTTTCAGATGAAAGATCCGTTATTTAATGTTGCTTAATGTTGACTCTATGGAGAATAAAGCCTTACATGAGTGTTGCTATTTTTAATTGCGGAGTGGAAGACCTACTGTACTTGTTGTTTAGTCTGTGATCTGAATGATGAATTTAACCAAACTGAAAGCAAAGGTTACAGCTGGGATATTCCACACATTTGAAAGACTCATTGTGTAACTCAGGTGTTTATGAGCTTTGATCACTCCAGCATAATAATTATCATGTAACTGCAAGAAGACTTAATGAAACTGAAACAATGCACCCTAACACAGGCATTTGAACTGTACGCTATTGAGTGCATGAAGTGTACCTCTACAGCTGAAAAGAGTTTGACTGTATAATTTCTGGATCTACTGATTTGTTTCTGATGTATCTCTTCTTTTATTTAGCCTGTATTTGTATAGCGCTTTACTAGTCCCTAAGGTCCCCAAAGCGCTTTACACAACCAGTCATCCACCCATTCACACACTGGTGATGGCAGCTACATTGTAGCCACAGCCACCCAGGGGCGCACTGACAGAGGCGAGGCTGCCGGACACTGGCGCCACCAGTAGGCAACGGGGGAAGTGTCTTGCCCAAGGACACAACGACCGAGACTGTACAAGCCGGGGCTCGAACCAGCAACCTTCCAGTTACAAGGCAAACTCCCAACTCTTGAGCCACGATCGCCCCATTATGAACAGAAAGATGATGAAATCCTCTTTATTTGAGAAAGTGTCCTTAAACTATTTTTCCTCCTTCTTACTGAGTTTCCGAGCTACCTCTTTGTTAAGTGAATAAACTATTTGAACAAGAAAGATATCATGGCACACACGATGATACTCTGTGTGTGTGTGTGTGTGTGTGTGTGTGTGTGTGTGTGTGTGTGTGTGTGTGTGTGTGTGTGTGTGCGCGCGCGCGCGCGCTCGGCAGAGGGGAGGTCAAGACAGGAGCTGAGTTGACCTGGTACATCAAGTTTGGATTTGCCCAGTTGTTGGTAAACAAAAAAGATTTAAACTTAAAAGATTTTGAGTTCATGCACACTGGAAAAAAAATTCTCTTCATCACAATCATTTGTTTAAAAATATGGCTATTTTACTGATCTATGGTTATTATTAAAGAGGAAGGAAAGAAGAAGAGGAAGCCTGAGCCCAGGTTCTGTCCATTTTCATAACAAGTGACAGCACAGACATCTGAGCTTTTTCGTCATAAAGATTGTGATGTGAAGCATCAGCAGGTAAAGTGTCGTTAAAGTGTCACTTCAATAATGCTGCTGGCAGAAAGAAGTGTTGACACATACTAGCTTTGAATAAAAGGCTTAAAACACAAACAGTCTAATCCTGGGTGTTGCTTTTAAGCTTAAAGAATATAATAAGTTCTAAGACAATTCAGTTTACTTCTTACTGTCCATGTTGTGTTGTGGTATTTACTTTATCATGAATGTACGCTACTTTGTTCTAGCGACTGTAAAAAATAATTGTATTCATGAAATAAACTAGACTTTCACAGTCTGCATCTTCCACAGTTTTCATGCTTTTGTTCACTCCAAGTTTGACACAAACCCACAGACAACCAGAGTTAACTATGTGAAGCAATCACAGACACTGTAATGGCTGATTTTTCTAATAAACACAATCAGGTTAACATTAAGGTTTAACATTGAAGGAGATTTGTTCCATAGTCACAGTTATACTTGTATTTCCTTTACTTACATCCAACACTACTATGTTCTGTTTCAGTCCAGGTGCTGGCAGTTTATCCTTTGTTGTTTGGACAAATAAGCTTAAAGCTAAACCTTCATGTTTTTGATGGGAAAGTTTGTTAAACCATTGCTCAACTTATGTCTGCACAGAGCAGATAATTATGATGTACTTGTAAAAAGACTTGATAAGCAGGTCACAGCTGAATCAAGGGGTAATAAAAGTAAGACCACGCGGTCTCAGCACGACTACACATGCAGTGGGTTATCGCACACATTTGAAAGGCTCATTGTGTAACTCAGGATGTGACCCCTTATAAAGGAGACAGAGAAGTTCTGTTGTTCAGTCAAGTAAAACCTGGTGAAAGCGCAATTCTAAGACTCTGGTCGTTGCTTAAGTGTATAGATAAAAAATCTTTTTTTCATGCATTATTTTCTTACTATATTAGTATAATCACCAAATCGATCATTTCATATTTATCCCCTGAAACGATCTACATTAACTTTTCTATCCCTAGAAATGTGTTTCCAGAGTCCCAGGTTTAGTGACTTCCTGTCCACCATCACATTAGCTGAGTAGTTGTCAAATTTGAGGGGAGCAGAGAAGATCAGACACCAGTCAGCAGGTCAGAGGCCATCTCTCATTTTACAAATCAATCGCTTGATTTATAAATGGAACAAACACCCCATCAGAC